AGCTCCATGCGCTCCTTTACCTCCAAGATATAGTTTGATGTATCACTCATGATTCCGAGATCCTCATCATTCCCTCCCTCTTCTGGAGGTTTCGTCCTCGAAACTGTTTTTCCTACATCAAACGGGGCCAAGTCAGCATTAGTGAACATATAAGTTATGTCATACTTACCTTGGTCTTGGCATGCTTCGAAAATTCCTAGCACTTTCTTTCGAGCCTTTCCCCGTTCGAAAGGTTTATCCTTTGTGAGGTCGTTGTTGTGGTATTGAACCTTTTTCCGTCTGAAAGGTTTATTATCCCTATTCATATCCATGAGTCCGTGATTAGGACTAGGCATTTCATGCGGCCTTTGCGTTGGGAGGATAATCGAGTTTTCTGTCTTTTTCTCCATGCAAACGTTCCCCTCCCGAGTTTGGAACACCTGCAACTCAAAGACATAATCTAGGGCAGTAAATATGTTAGTGCAGCAAGTGTTCTTCCTGAGATGTTGGTAAAAACATTTCAATTGCAAAACGTCTTTTTCGGATTCAAATCGGGCTTGCGTCCGACGCTGCAATATACTCACCTTCTATAGTAGAATCTGCAACGGTCGCCTGCTTGGAACTCTTCCAGCTAACAACGCCTCCGTTCAAGCAGAAAACATAGCCAGACTGCGATCTGTAGTCATTCGGGTCTGACTGGAAACTAGCATCAGTGTAACCTCTTACAGCGAGCTCGTCTTCCGACCCACCGTATACCAAGAACACATCTTTAGTCCTTCTCAAGTACTTCAGGATGTTCTTGACGGCGATCCAGTGTGACTCACCTGGATCTGACTGATATCTACTCGTAATGCTCAACGCGTAGGATACATCCGGTCGAGTACAAACCATGGCATACATGAGATCCAATTGCCGAAGCATATGGAATCCGATCCATGCGTTCTCGCTCATCAGGTGTCATAGGACACTGAAGAGAACTGTGCCACTGCTCATCGGTAAGGTTCCTTTCTTGGAATCTTGCATCTTGAACCGTTTCAAGACCTTATCGATGTAAGTACTCTGACACAATCCTAGAAGACGCCTCGATCTATCTCTATAGATCTTGATGCCTAGAATATAGGCCGCTTCTCCTAGGTCCTTCATAGAAAACTGTGTTCCTAGCCAAGATTTAACGTCTTGTAAGGTAGGAACATCATTCCCTATAAGGAGAATGTCATCCAGCACTAGAAATACAACTGTGCTCCCACTGACCTTCTTGTAAACACATGGCTCATCTTCGTTCTGTGAGAAACCAAACTTTTTGATTGTCTCATCAAAGCAAAGGTTCCACCTCCTCGAAGTCTGCTTCAGTCCATAAATGGACCTCTGAAGCTTGCACACCATCCTCGGGTTCCTAGGATCGACAAAACCTTCGGGTTGTGTCAGGTACACATCCTCGGTCAAGTTCCCGTTAAGGAACGCGGTCTTGACATCCATTTGCCATATCGCATAGTCATAATATGCGGCTATGGCAAGTAAGATCCTGATGGACTTCAGCATAACTACGGGCGAAAA